GGTGTTGGTGGCTCCGGCGCTCTGTGGGGAGGGGGTTGCAGTGCTGGGCAGAGCCCCCCTTTGGTTGCGGTGGTTTGAGGGCGATTCCGGAATGTTTCCTTTCTGTCAAAGCGCAGAGATTCCTCTCAATCCCAAGGAGCGAACCAAAGGGTGCTTTTCTTCTTTTTTTTTTTTTTCCCATTGAGTTAAGTCAAACACGAGCTCCGGGAATGCTGTGCTAAAAGGAATTGCATTTATTCAGGCAGCAGTTAATAATTTAATTTTCCCCTTCACTGCGATGAAGGTTATTGTTACTCGTTTTATTCTGTAGGACGTTAGTTTGGGGATGCTCCTCACCCTCTGCTCTGAGGTGCTCTGCTGGTGCTGCATGTCTGTAGAGCCCTGGAAAGGGCAATGTTGTATTTGATAGTTATATCTGAAAAACAAACCTGCTAAAGGGACACCGAGCCCAGGCCTCAGCTCTCCAATTTATTTGCTGAGATTTTCCATTTGCACTTGAGACATATGGAAGCTTGCACATTCAATACCTAGAACTCATCTATCATTTACTGCTAAAGCATTTGTTTTCATTGTCCATCCAATTATTTTTTCCTATTATTTCTGCTTAATGGCGAAAGAAAAATTCCATCTACGTTCATTAGGCGGCAAATAGGCCAGGAGAAAATCAATCCAGTGCTGTAACATATTTTATTATGCCTGTGCTGAGTTCTTTAAAGCTGTTTTTTATTAATTAGCTTGGTGTGGTTTATGAAATACACTTGGAGGCCAGGAAGTGAGTTACAAGAAGTAGCTACTACCAGGGAATGAGCAGTGGGAAGTCAAACTGGAGAGGGCAGTTCCTTTCAGAGCAACATGTTGATCACCCTGAGCACAGGCAAGTCTTCCCTTTGCAGTTCTTTGGCTTGTTATTTCTGCAGCCTCACACAATAACAAGCTGGGATCATCTTGGCTACAAATCCAGTAATCCTGTTAGGGTTTGCTGGTGCTGAGCCACGGCTGTTTGCTTAACCTTCATGGCTTTAATTCATGGAGAAATAATTTGAGTTTATGGTGCAAGGCTGGCTTGGTGTTGCAGGGGGGACTTAAGACCTCGTGTTTTTCTGTCTTGCTTCATGAGCTGTGTGTTAGAAGTTGAAAGAATGGAGCTCAGTGGGTGTTCAGGCAGTGCTTCCATCAGAGCTGGACTTGGAGGAATTTCCCCTTGGAAGGGGCTGCCAGAGAGGTTTGGAGTCCCCATCCCTGGGCTGTCTGAGGGTGACAAGGTGGGAACTGGGCACAGGCTGAGCTCCATGATCCCAGAGGGCTTTTCCAGCCTCAGCAATGCTGGATTCTGTGTTGTTCTCATGCTGTGCTCCTGCTGCAGGTGGAGAACGTGAAGCTGCTGGATCGCTACGGCAGCAGGAGGGCAGCGAGCGGGACCCTGTACCTGACAGCCACACACCTCATCTACGTGGATACCTCTGCTGAAGTCAGGAAGGAAACATGGGTAGGGTATGCTGGGCTGCAAACACACCTGGGAAAGCTGCTTCAGCTCACAGGGTGGATTGGTGGGGAGAGAATTGAAGGATTGTCCCTTTTCCCCCCTAGAGGGATGTCCGGTTTTC